GGAAGGAAGCTGTGAGTAGATAATGAGATCTGCTGAAACTATAACGTAATTAAAAAAGAAAGGAGAAGCTGATGGGATTGTTGCTTTTTGTACGTGTGCGTTAGGCTGTAAGTGCATTAGCTGTTGTGGAACCCTTTGGTATTGGGGAGGTGCAGAGATTTCTGTTGGAGCAAGCAGTTGTGGGACTCAGACAACTATTCCAGATATACAGAATAATGGCATTGGTAGCCTAGGAAGGCAACTTGAATCTTTCCACTGCTGTAAACTAAATTATTCTTTCAGTTCCTGATTGACTTACTGAAACTGAGTATTTTTTGAAGTGACAAAATTACTTGTTTTTCTCTCCAGTAGCTAATCCTTGCTGCTGCTGCTGTGTCTTGGTGCTTACTATTTAAACTAGAGATTCCTTTAAATGTCTGTTTTCTTTCCCCTGCAGCTATCAAATCTCTTGTTTTCTTGTATGATGTTGACTCACTGTTGTTTCCCTTTTCAATTCTTGCTTAGTAAACTAACAAGAGTTCTTGACAAATACTGTGTCTCTAAAAGAAAACACTACCTACCAAAATGTAAATCTTTTCATTTAATTGCTCTTGGATGCTGTGAACTCACTTGTGCCCTTTCCAGATGGTGAAGGCTTTCTTTGCTCCTGCTACAAAACAGATGAACTCGATATAATTTGTGGAAAGGCTTCCAGTGAAAAAGCAGATCGCTTTCACTGAAGATAGCGGAACTGAAATGAAGTCCTTAACATACAAGGATTTAAAACAAATACACTGCATGTGGGAGAAGGAAAAGAAAACTAATGAAACAATTTTTTTTTTTTCTTCTAGATTTTTTTTATTTTCACTTTATACCTGTGAATTTTGTGCAATCCAAAGATGGCAGCAAATAAGCCTAAAGGACAGAATTCACTGGCTTTGCACAAAGTCATCATGGTGGGAAGCGGTGGTGTAGGAAAATCTGCTTTAACACTACAGTTTATGTACGATGAGGTAAGAATCTGCACTAGAAATTATCTCAGGAGATGTCCACTACGTAGAATTCCTGAAGTATTCGTTAGTACAGTTATTTTCTGAAAGGGTCTAAATGTATATGACGTGATATGAAAGTCAACATTTTTTTGAGATGAGTGATTTGTCCTTTATACATACCTGTGAAGGTTTAATTTGGCATTTTTCAGGCTTCTAAACAATTAGATGCTCTGTCATATAATCAGGATATTTTGTCATTGTTCACTAGACCTATTAGAACTTATTTAGGTGTTACAGCTCAAAGCTTCTCAGGTGAGTTGCATGATGCCTGAAATGATAAGCATTTTTTTTCCATATTTTTTATGCTGCTGTTGAAGAGGAGAAAGAAAAACTTTTTTGTTTTCTCACTTTTTTCCAGTGCAAGTCATTCTTTTTCTTTAAAAGGCAGAAGTTAGCTCTTCAGTGTCCTTTAAAAATTGATACTAAATATATTCAAAGGCAAGACTGCCTCATACCATAGTGAAACACAGCCAGATGTTGTGCTTGACCAGAAGCAGAGGTTTGGGTAGTGCACAGACATTGATGTTTTGCAGTTAGCTCTGAAATTTCCTTGTAATGGCTGATGAAAGCAAAAGCCTATAAATTAATTGGGCTGATGGAGAGTTTGCTTTAACTATGAGTTGTTTGAGTACTTCACGTAGCCTAAATACATTTGCTTACTTATTAGTAACCACGCAAGATGTTTGTTGCATCCTTATATGCAGATAGAAGCTTTTGCCTTGTAGTTGTGAAATTATGGTTTGTTTTTTTTTTTTCTAGTTTGTTGAAGATTATGAGCCCACCAAAGCAGACAGCTACAGGAAAAAGGTGGTTCTGGATGGGGAAGAGGTCCAAATCGATATATTGGACACAGCAGGGCAGGAGGACTATGCTGCAATTAGAGACAACTACTTCCGAAGTGGAGAAGGTTTTCTCTGCGTCTTCTCTATTACAGAGCTGGAATCCTTTGCAGCAACTGCAGACTTCAGGTAAGTTACAAGGCAAGTTAATTATTCTAATTACATGTTTAAAGCTAAGGAGTAGCTGCAAGGTGTATTTTCTATGAATATTGATAACGCTATGGCCAAGCAATAGGGTCAGGATAGCCTCAGAGAAGTCTCAGCTCTGAGGCCACAGATACACAGCAGTCTCTGATCAGGTCATGATTATCCTATGACTATGACAGAAATTTAAAGTAACTACTTGCAGTGAGATAATTACAAGTGATTTTTTTGTTTGTTTTGGAATATCCCGGAGATAATTACAAGTGATTTTTTTGTTTGTTTGTTTTGGAATATCCCAATGAGAGTCCAGATTAGATGACAGCTCTTACTGTAGTCAGTCAGATCGTGTTTTGAACAGATGCCTAGCCATGCCTTTGCTGTCTCTGCCACTTCAGATATCTTCACTGCTGTGTTTCTGCATACCAACAAGGCTATTGCCACAGAGCAGGCACATAGCAATGTTCAGAAGGCTGCTGCCCTTTGTAAATCAGTGTTGCTTGGCTCCTGTGCTGAGAAGCAGTGTTTGTGAGTAGTCACACTGCTGTCCAGAGTAACGAATCTGAGGAGAATTGCCTACAGACTGTAGGGTTACGTGTCACGTACGTACAATACCACATACTCCCCAGAGCTGTCTTTTTTAGTTCTTGCTTCATATAGAGGATTATGTGGTGTTTCTCTTAACCTGTGAAGCACCACCTGGAGCAAAAGGGCAGCTGTAGCATGTCCAGCTGTTTTATGATATAGTTATAAAAACGATGTGAGTGGGTTTCAGTTGAAAACTGCACAGAACCACCACGTCTGGGGACGTCTGTCTGCAAAGTCTTAGGTGATGTGAAGTATGCAGATTGTATTCTGGGAGAGTGAAATGCATCGTGTCAACAACACAAATCTTTCTACCTCTTAAAGGTGATTTTATGAACAGCAGTGATGAGAAGTATCTTTGAATATTCTGTAGTAGCTATGCATTGTACAAGAAAGCTGGGGAGGGACTTTTTACAAAGGCAGGTAGTGATAGAACAAGGAGTAATGGCTTTAAACTGGAAGAGGGGAGATTTAGGTTAGAAATTAGGAAGAAATTAATTGCTGTGAGGGTGGTGAGACAGTGTCCCAGGTTGGCCAGAGAAGCTGTGGCTGCTCCTCCCTGGAAGTGTTCAAGGCCAGGTTGGATGAGGCTTTGAGCAACCTGGTCTAGTGGAAGGTGTCCCTGCTGATGGCAGGAGGGTTGGGACTGGATGAGCTTTAAGGTCCCTCCCAACCCAAACCGTTCTATCATTCTATGGTTCTGTGTAAAGGCCTGTTGTAAATGTGTCCCTTCAGTTTTGCTTGGATGGAATTTTTGTCTGTAAAAAATACGGATGTAAATTTTTGAATTTACAAGAGAAAAGTTCTGCATAGATTTCTGCATAGCATTCACCCTTCCCATCAAAGTCAGTAACTTACTTAGTAGGGAGCAATATGATAAAAACAAAATTTGGAACTGGATCTGTCAGGTTTAATAAAGATTTGACAGGATAGGAGGTTTTGAAATGCTTTTCAGGCATGCAGTGTATTAAAACCTTTGTAATGGTAAGAGACTATTAAACAGGCAGCAGCTTATTGCAGGTGTTTAATTTTGGCTGAGAGAGAGAGAGCCTATTTAAATCACTCATCACTATATTAAAATAAGGACAAAAGAGACTGGAAAATTTTTCTTACCAGTTCAAAGTGTAGTGAAATAGGAGAGGACATAACCTTTGAGATAAAAGTAAGGAAACAAATATAAAAATAAATTATCTACATCCCCCTGAAATAAGGCTTCTCAGAGATGCTGTCACAGTTCAACTTAATTAGCACTAAATATCAGAATATGTTTAGTATCTCTAAGGGAGGAGGAAGAGGTATGGAGAGGGGAGAAAGGGAGTTTTTCCTCTTCTGGTGGTTTTTTTATTTGTGTCTCTATATGTGTTTTGAGAGAGAGGGAGGGGGAGACAGACAGGCCTTGAGTGGTTTGCAGGCTTATGCTAGGTTTTGTCAATTCTGCAGGACTCTTTAGTAGAGTTGAGCTCCTCTGGGGTGTGAAATGACCTATTCACATCTGTTTAAAATCCTATTAATACTTCAAAGTACATGATCTTCGGTGGCTCTAGAAAAAGTCCTACTTTGCCAGCAAAGGTGAGTGTTGATAGTGTAAATGCTGAAACAGCAAAAATGAAAGAAAAAAAAAAATCCCTTCAATGAAGAGATTAAAACTCTCCCCTATCTGAATCTGAAAGTTGCTCTTGAAACTGTAGTAGCCTAAATGCTAAAATGTAACTCAGAAAAACTACATTCTTTCTGCCCTGTGTGAAAGTTGTATCGCTTGAAGGTACAGTTAGAACCCATTTGTAGTTGTTGAGCAGCCTGAGGGAATACTACTTCAGAGACAGATATGCAAGAAAGTGACAAGAAGAATTTGGATGTTTGATTGTTTCCATGGAATTTTGCAATGCTTAAATGGCAGAACTCCAACAGGAGAGGTGTTTACTTCTACTCAATGCCTTCAGCGAGATTCCTGGTGTGCTCTGAAAGGCCATTGCTCCAAATAATTTTATATGTTTTCCAACAGAAAGCAGACCTGCAAGGACTAAACTTTTAACTATTTGAAAGGCTGTTTGATGAAATATGGTCTTGCTTTGAGTAGAATGGGTCTTAATGACTTTTAAGTTCTAGATTTCAAGCTGGCATATAATTAATTTCTTGTTTAGGAGATATCAGTATTCATAGAGGGCTCAAAGGAGAATATTGTCTTCTGGATTGCTGTTAGATTAACACTTTACACTGTGAAATTGCTTGGCATTGCCTGAACAATTAATGTTCAAAGCTGCTAGTTTTTAGCAGAGGTCTTATTTGCACAGACACTTGAGTTTTCTTCTGGCTGCCTTTCTAATCCACGGACTATTCACACTCCTTTTGGATAGCTGCAGACCCTGTTCAAACATTTCCACCGATATTTGTGGGGAAGAGGAGGAATGTTGCTTTAATTACACCTCAGAGGTGAATGTGATGGTACAAGCTGCCTCAAATACTTATTTGTTGTTTTTTTGTGTTTTTTTAAAGTTATGGGCTAAGTGCAGTTTCACACACAGAATGTCAGGGATTGGAAGGGACCTCGAAAGATCATCCAGTCCAATCCCAAGTCTGCTCACAGGGCAGTTTCTAAGCCCTGTGAGCAGACTTCCTCAACAAGACTGCATGCTGTCCAGGGCTTTTTATAATGGCAGGAGGATTCTGCCCTACACCAAATAAGGGCCCTTTAGAATATCAGTTAATTAATTCTCTTCAGCTTCTCTCCATTCAATTCTAAATCTGGCAATAGGTTCCACCTCAGCCAGCAAAAGGAATCTGTTTCTCTGTGCTTTTTGTTGATCTCTCAGAAATTGGGCCATAATAAAGGGCTGTGTTTCACTACTAACTTCATACTCCTTTCTGAGACAAAAGAGAGAATATCCTTCTTCTGGGAAAACTGTTCTTCCTGGTACTTTTAGTGCATTTCTAATTAGAAGAAAACTTTTTCATTATTTTTTGTTTTCAGTGTTGAAGACTTATGTACCAAACCTGAATTTCAGTAATAGTAGTAGCAGTGAGTTTTATTTACAACTTTACACCCTTCATCCTAGCAGTTCAAACATTAAAAGGATCTGTCTTTAAAAATCTGATGCATGTGCACCTTTTATCTGTACACTAGTTTATAAGGGAACGAAGATCTCTGCAGAGACTGAATGTGATTCACTTCAGAAAGATTCCTGAAAGAGATTTGTCTCTTGTATGCTGTAGACCATTTTATCAGCTTTAAAAATGGTACCTATGTGCTATTAGGAAAAAATCGAGCGTGAAACTGAAGTTTGGGTAGCTTCAAAATGGCAATGACAAATAGTAATGGAAAGACAGTGCTTAAATGCTCTGAAGTAACACCTTTAGTAAAAGGAATGACTTATTCACACAAATTCTCACCTAAAACAATGCTGCTCTACTCTTTTAGTTTCTTACTGACTCACCTCCTTCCTTCCTTCCTTCCTAGAGGACTAGTTGTCTGTCTTCATTCTGTCGTAATGAGGTTTAAGATTTTACTGTTATGTAAGCTTCATAAAAGGAATAAGTGGGTTTTCACTGTAAGATGGAAGAGTATTTAGTCTGCCTTCTTCTTTTTCTGTTCTAAGCATAGTATTCCATGCAAAGCTTAAATTTCTTTTCTCTCCTTTTTTTTTTTTTTTCTTTCTCTTCTCCAGGGAGCAGATCTTAAGAGTAAAAGAAGATGAGAACGTTCCTTTTTTGCTAGTTGGTAATAAATCAGATTTAGAAGATAAAAGGCAAGTTTCTGTAGAGGAAGCAAAAAACAGAGCTGATCAGTGGAATGTTAACTATGTGGAAACTTCTGCAAAAACACGAGCTAATGTTGACAAGGTAATAACTGGCTTCTTTATACAAGGAACCTCTCCAGCAGTTTTTTACCTTATACCTCTTTTCCATGGGTCATACTCTATATGTTCATTATTTTAGCAATTATTTTTGTGAAATTTGAATCAAATACTTTTCTCCCTTAGCTTGCAAGGAGGGTATGATAAGGTGACTTCATGTAGAACACTGAAAATGTTTAGGCATAACAAGTTTATACCATCCTAAACTTCAAGGAGTCGTTATACAAGACCTTATTTCATTAAAAATTTCTTGGAACAGCTATTTTGGCCTAGACTCCTTACTGTGTTTTCTATAACTAGAAGACAATCTGCTTCTGAGCAGCAAGGAATGCTGTCTGATCCTCAGGCAGAATAAAACAGCTTACAAAAGTAGGTAAGAGAGGGATTGGAGCCCTCTCTACCCTCATCTAACCAGATGCCTGGTTGTATGTTGCTTCGATGAAGAGTGGATGAACCCTTTTAAGCTTCGAACAGCCTACAAGTGCCTCATGAGTTTTCAGTGATAAAATATGGTTCAGAAGGTCATGAGATAAAAGACAGAGAATCTTTGTCTCCAGAAGATAAATTATTTATTAGTTCTAAGTATTTCAGCTAGAACTCTAAAAGACTTATTGGAATACAGAATTCAGAATAACACTCAGCCTCATGGACTGCAAGAGTAACAGAAGTGTGGCAAAAGAAATAAGTAGTTTAGTTCAATGTGCCAACCTTTCCTTTCAGAGGAAGGATCACACATTGAAAAATTCTCTCATGTAAATCCTTACACATGAGCTGTCAGTTGCAGCCTGACAACTGTAACCTGAGTTCTCATTTGTTCTAACTTCCACTTGACTGGTGTCTCCTGTTAGTTGTTTTCCTGAAGACACTGATTGTTCAATACTACAGTAAGAACTTCATGCAGTTCTGTAGTGAAAATTAAATCAATTAAGTGCAGGAGAACTCAGTCTTATTGATTCAGCTCTGGGTTTTTTGTTGTTGTTATGAAAACTGGTACATCTTTTAGTTTTGGTGTATGATTGCAGTTAACATCCATCTATTAGTCATGTACAAATTCCCAGCTCTTCAAAATCCACTTCACTATCATTTAGCAGTTGAGGAAAAAAGTGTGGGTGTGTGTATATATATATATATATATATATATGGGGTTTTTTTAGTAGCTCTCTAATCAATAGCTTTTTCACACACATAGTAAGCTACTACAGAGCTCCAGTTTTCTTTTTGGAGCTGGTGGCATTATGGATCCAGGTTAGCATGTGTCATATAGAACTCAGGTTTGACAGTCCATAAGTGAGGCTGCTTTGACACTAGTAAATACCAGGTATTCTTAGTTACTTGCAACATCTGAAATTACAAGGTTTGTTATGCAAACTAAGTTGCTGTTCTATAAGAAATGTCTTCTCTGAATTCCACAAGAGTGGATTTGCTGAGTTGAGTAAAGCACAGTCAGTTTCCACTCCCTTTGGTAAAGGTGAGCGTGCCCCAGGCAGCTAAATCCTGCAGTACAGTATCAGCGCTTAAGCAAGGTGACGGTGGCATCTTACCATTAGCACAGATTTAAGTACAAGCAAGTACTTGGCCTTAATGCACATTTAGAAATCTAAAGGCAATGTGGAAATGTTTAGTTACATTGATTTTCGTTGGATCCCACGTAATGAAGGCCGATGCTTTTGCTGCAGTCAGTACAAGGTTAGTGTCATTGCAAACAAAAGCTACTGAGCTCTGTAGAACAGCTTTTCAGCCCCAGCGCTCTCTGTGTTTCACAGAAATAGATCAAGTCCCCTGACACAGATCTAGAGAACATCTCCTGAGAGAGAAAAGTCTTACAATTGCTCAACTTATGTCCTACAATAAAATGGTAAAGATTAAATGATTATTCACTGTAGCCTCCTGCCAATCAAGTCCAGATCTGCTTTTCAAATGAATAAAGTATCTTTAGACAGTCCAATCGTAAAGCCTTCACTGACAGTAGGTTCCCTTAAGGCACTGGTGTATCTCCAGCTTTGTTGGTTTTGTTTCCAGTGAAACCACCACGCCTTTCCAAGTGAAACCACTTGACAAAAATGAAATTGTTCTGTACTTTGAGTTTGTAATCTGGCAGTTGAGATAACCTGATCTAAAAAATTGTTTATATAATTGCATGATTGATAACTTTGCTTTAAAGAAAAAGGTGATTGATTTTTTTTTTTTTCCCCCTACTCACTTTGTGTTTAGATTTGCATCATGGGACATACCGACCATTAAATGTTCAGTGTATGCTACAGCTCCTTTAATACATTTCTGGAATTGAATGTTGCACTTTTTCAGCTCATTGCTGAAAATATTCGAAACGTAAACTGATTTCCTTGAGTCTCCTGAGTAAAGTGTAGATAATGCATTTTAAAAATCGTGGTTTGCGATGAGACTTTTTCAATCCTTGTGCAAAATTGTCTGACAGGATTCATAAGCAAGTCTCAGAAGACAGGGGAACATTGTGATACCATGAAAGAAGCAAGTTTGCGTCATATCAACTTGGCCTTCAAAACCAACGAAAGATTTGTTGGATTTATATTTGTTTACTCAAATTGGTTGCATGTACTTGACTTTATTCTAAACAACCAAAATGGATATCATCAGTGATAGCTTAAGCTAACTCATATGTCTGTGATTGTTTTTTCATTTATGTTCTTACATCTTCTTTAGGTGTTTTTCGATTTAATGAGAGAAATCAGAGCCAGAAAAATGGAAGACAGCAAAGAAAAGAATGGGAAGAAGAAAAGAAAAAGCCTAGCTAAAAGGATCAGAGAAAGATGCTGCATTTTATAATCAAAACCCTGAATTCCTTTCCTACCCTGACCATACTAATAAAAACCGTAATTTATAAGCATGCCATCGAAGGCTCAAGTGACTGAAATTACTCTAACATGTTGGAAATTGTAATGTACCACTAAAAAGCATGAATTGGAGCTGCACTGAGAGTCAGATTCACTGAGGAAAAAAAAAAAAGGAAAAAAAAGAAAAAAAAATGATGTGGCTTCAAGAGAAGCAAAGTTCAGTCCATTTCATAACTGCCTACCTTCTCACATTTCTTCTGAATGTAGTGTTTCCTAGGGAGTCTCTTCTTTCATAGTGAACAGGGCGGGGGGAAGTACGACTTTGTGGGTTCTTGTAAAGCGTCCTTTTTTTTATCACTGGTAATTGTCAATTCATCTTGTCTTTTGTTGCCTTGAAAATGACAGTGGTGAAGGTGTTAGAACCTAATGAGGCGGTCTGCAGTTGTTTTGCCGTGGAGTTAATGCAAATTCGAAAAGAATAATGTCTATGCGAACAACTACGTTGGGGGGGGAAAATGCCATGTGGTTCTGCATTACCTGATTAACCGAGAAGAGTGATGTAATCTTTTACATTGAAACATTTGAATATGCCTTAATTTTAAAACCTAAACATAGCAAGGTTGCTTAATCAAGGGTGTGTTTTCAACTCTGTTGCACGGAGACTGTCCCTGCAGATCATCAAGTGTGAGACTGCCCTCTCTGTGGAGCGCAGTTCCGTGAATGATTTCACTCACTAGCTGTCTGCTAGCAGCGTCTGTCCTTTCAACGTGTGCCATACTCTGGTGTTGTGAAAAATACGGAGCATATTCTGTCATCTGGAACTTGGTAAACAATACGATATCTTAAAACTAAAGGGTCAGAATACATACAAAGACTGAAGTCATAAGCCTATGGCACATCTAAGCCTGGAATGGTCGTTTAAAACTTAACGTGCTGATACCTTGAAGCTTCCCTTTCGCAAGTAGATTTTGTTGTCTAGATGTTCCTTGGGTTTTAACTCCCTGGAGTTGGGTGGAGTGGAGCTGATTCAGTAGCGCTAACGTGTTTTCAGTTAAGATGTTGTCTGGGAAATTCTGGTGTCATCAGTTCATTTCTTTTGTATTCCTAATTCCTCAGCTGCGGGATCATGGTGTGTTATGCTGAAGCCTTTGCAGGTTTTGTATTGTTTAGTCTAGTTTACGTTGATTTTTCAAATGGGGGAACGTTGTAGCTACTTTTTCTAGTTAAATGTTGATATTAAACAATCAAACATGCTTTGCAATACAGAAACATTGACGTGTCCATCCAAAATCCCCAAACAAACAAACCAACAAACCATACTGCCTCAGTTGCTTTAGAACAGCAAGAATACTAGCGCAGGGTTAGTATCCTGCATCTTAACTAAAAAAAGAGACCAGAATGTTTGAGGGTTTTGGGCTCCTGGGGTAAGACAGGTTAGATCAATTCCACAAACTGTTACCGTTTTTATACGTGTGTAAGCCTATAACTGACAGTTTAAAATGTGCTCAAGCAAACTAGGTAACAAATATTTAACTCTCATGCTAACAGACATTTTAGGGGACTCAAGTCTTAGAAGTTATATTTGTCATGTTAAATATTTATCGGTAGGAGTTTTGTATGTGCATTTAGTAGACTGTCAAGCGCAGAATTAAAGTTACTGATGTAACTATGGCAAATAAGCCAGTTCTTCATCTTACTGTGTACTCATTTGGGTCTATTTAGCCAGGGAGTCTAACCACTAACGTTGTGACTTTGCTTTGGAACCTGTATACTAGGAACTGAGGTGTTATGAAGCCACTGGACACATGAAATTTGTCTTGGCTGATGCCTTATCCTGTCCGTTTATTTGCTATTTGAGCCATTGAAAGATGAATAAACTTCCATTTTTTTTAAAAATACTTGTGCAGTGTTAATTGATAACTGTGTTATTGATAAACGTTGCTATAGCTGATGCCAGTTGTTGAGCAGTTAAACCTAAATATTCCAGTAGCCTTTTTCATGTGTGTGTGTGTGTGAACAAAATTGTAGATTTAATCTAATCAGTCTGATAAAAAGCCACTTTGTAAAAGCTGAGACCAGGCGTGTGCTACCTTTTATCCAGAGCTAATTTATCTCTACTTGCTCTAACAAAGACAATCAGAAAACAGGCAAACAAACTGAGGTAAGCTTGTTCCAGAAGTATTTTTCCATAAGAATGGAAAGTGAGATTAAAAAAATAAAATAATAATTTAAAAAAGTACATGAGTTTTAAATAATAATAAAATAAAAAAGCATTTTAAGTCATTCTCTTTTCACACACTCAGGGACAAGGTAAATGCTTTCTCAGCCTGCAGGGAATGCAGCTGGAAGTGTGTATGTAGGATTTGGGTACATCTTCAGAGTGTCATCCCAACTGAGTGATATATTGGCATCCTAGAGGAGTGTTTGGTTTAGCTTCATTCTGTGTCTGAAACTCCTAGTAGGTCTGTCTGCTCAGAGATAGACCTGAGAGCACATTTCCTCCCGTTTCTCCTCCAAAAAGTTGGAGATATGTTCTTACACTGGCAGGATCAAAGCCTTCCATGGTATTTCCCCCCTGAGTCAGCCTAACACCGTTGCTACCTTTTGTGAAACGCATTGCTTTGTAAAACTGCAGACCAGAGAGAGACGCCCTCATTTGTAACAAGCTATGGAGGTTCAGTCTGCTGTTATCTATGAAATTAATATTGAATTCTTGTGCTAACTCCCATTTTTTTCTGTGGGGTTTTTTTTTTCATAGCTTTAAAAACTCAATTGGCTTTTGCAAATGCTGGCTAAGAAATCTGTGGACTCTTTGGTAGTTTCTGTAGCCTCCTGATGAGCAGGCAAGAGCTTCACAGTGCTATTGTCCAGCAGTGCTGGAGCCCAGCAGATTTCTTTGCCTATCACGGCGTGCAGGAAGTGCTTTCCCATTCACAGAGACTTGTTAACATCCGAGTAGCACACAGAATGGTGTCTCTGGCACGCCCAGTGTCAATCATAATGCAGTAAAACACACTCCATATTTGACCCTTATCCTCGCTATAGTCACCTGCAGGAGTCCAATATTTTATCTATTAGCATGTGAAACTGAAAATCTTGGGTTCCTTTTTGGGACACCAAGCTTTGCAGTGATTCTCTGATTCCAGGGTCTGAGCAGGTAGATGGTCTCTACATGATTTATGGCCAATGCAAAATGCAGAGCAGGAGAGACCCAGCTGAATGGACGTGATACGTTTAGCTGTGCCAGAACGGGATCAGAAGGTCGGATGGAGCCTACAACAATTGAGAATTCAACGGGGAAAGCCAAGAGTGCTCCTTCATTTCTAAGCTTTCTCCCATTACTGTCAGACACGTTGGCTCTCCTGGCCACGTGGGTGCATAGTCAGTCGTGTGCGTAAGCGATATTTCTTTTCAGACCTGGTCTTGCCAATTTTTGGCTGTGATTTTTAACTTAAATAAATGACTGAGTGTGTATTTAACAGATGACTCATGAAAGAAACCTCTCCTTGCATATTTTTGTGGGAGCTTCAGCTTGTTACTAAAATTGAATGGTAGGAAGGGTGCCAATGTTGCTAATACTGGAGTGTAAGCTAATCTTTGATCTAAATACATTAACCAGACGGGGATATTTTCGGTTGAAGCTTTGTTGTCAAAGAAATGCTGAAATGCATTCCACTTGAGATCTGGCCGGGATCAGACAGGTGCCAAGACTCTTCTCATTTTCAGAGAGGTCCTGGCTGGATCTAACCAGCCATCCAACTAGTACAGTCCATTTTGGGAAAATACTCAGAAGAGATTCTTGGTTTGTGTGTGCTCAGGTCTTTTTTTTTTTCTTCCATGTTTTTCTTCTGTGCAGAATGGAAAAACTCCAAAGTTTTAAGTTGTTGGAAAAATTGATTTACCTCCACCATCCTCTTGATTAATATTGCTATCAGTAATATTTAACACTCCCAAAGCACTTAATATGTGATACCTGTTTGTGGATTTCAGCAGGTTTTCAGTTGTGGAGAAGACTTCTTCTGTCTTACAGATGCCAACAGCAGTGGCAGAAGGTAGCAAGACAACTCCAGTGTTAGCGGGCTGAGCACTCCCGTTGTACTCTGATGCCTCGTTCTGCCCCACACAAGGCAACTGCAGACTTTCTTTTCTGATCTGGTGAGACTGTGGATGAAATTGTAGATGTGCCCTGAAGCAGATAAGATGGGAGTCTCTGAAAATTTGAATGATGGGAGTCTCTGAAAATTTGAATGATTAGGGTCCAAACTGTGACATCTAATTACACTTGGCAACTCCTGCAAGGACATCCCCTACCAATGGGCTCTGTTGAAGGGTTAAAAACTGAGGTTGTCTGCACCCCAATAGTGTGCAAATTCCTTCCAATGGTCAAATGATCTCGAGATGATCCACAGCTCTCACCCCCATCAGAAGGGACGTGCCTCCTTCCCACAAGGTGACAGAGCCAGTGCCCAGGCTGGGGCATGGTTATGGGTATTCAGTGCCTTCTGCTAGGGCAGGGCTGGGAAGAAATGTCCTCAGAGATTTCCTCAGTACATACCGTTATGGAAAGGAGGAGGTAGGAAGAAGAAAAGAAGGGAAGGGGAAGGTTTTGTTATTGTTTGGTTGGGGTTTTTTTTAAAAAGGTGTTTTCTCATGTGAAGTAGGCTGCTACCCACATTTACTGTTGGAAAAAAATGGAGATAAAGCAGCGGGCCAGCCTGTTTGCTGCCTGTCAGACAGGATGTCTGCTGCAAAACTAGAAAGTTTTATGGTCCTCCTCACCTTCACTTTTAGAGCTCAATGTTTGGCACCTCTGAAAAGATAAATCCCAGAACTTCTGAGGGAGAATTCTCTACTTTAGGTGAAGGATCATCATATCACCTTCCCAAGTTGTTAAAAATGTTGGCTTTCACCCCTAGGTTTGAGTGGGGAATGGCACAAACGATTTCAGTAAACTTCTAGAATTAGGAGCTGTCCCAAGAGCAACAACCTGGAGGCAATGCCTCCGAGGGCACTTGGAGGATGTCAGAAGATTTCTTACAGGAGAAGCAATTGT